ACGTTCTGGAATCTAGATCCTCCATGATACTTTTTCGCCCTCTATGGGTTACGAATGAAACTATGGTATTCGCATTAAAAAAAAACTATGAAAGGATAAACTTACGAAAAAAAAATAACAAATTACAATCATTACTAATATAAAATATTTTGATATTTTAGTGCCGGAAATTTGGAAATGATTTAAGTTTGTTTTAAAATATTAAATTTATTTCAAAAACTTCGATATAATTTTAAGTATAAATGTAGAAATTAAATGGATATTTCTAGATGTACACGAAATAATATTTTATTTATTGAATATGTTGTTTTTTTTACTCAAAAAAAATCATGATTATATATAAATTATGGCTAGGTTTTGACCTTTTGATGCAAAAAAAGTAATTTAGTTTAGTGCGAAGATTAAGAGAAAAAGACTTTTATATATTTATTTATCGCAGTTACTTACAATCTCATCACTGATGGCCTTTTAGTAGCATTTAACACCGTTGGTCGTAATGGCCCTGTAGTAGTATCTAACATCGTGGGTTGTAGTGTGACCAATATATAACAACAAATACAGAGAAACAAAATGGAAACAGAAACCTAGACAGGCGGTCAACTCTATTGGGATTTTTGTTAGAGGTCATTTTAGTTGTTGGAAAATTTCGTTTCATTTTTTGAACGACCCAAACTTGAATAGGAGAATGGGCTTTAGTTGAACTACAGGTGGCACATGGTTTGGTGGTTTCTGTTGATTCTTCTAAGGTATGTTTCTGTGAAAGGAAAACAAATGTAATTGACTGTATTAAAGATATGATCTAATATATTTTCTGGCAGGCATAAAACTGGGGTACAAAGTAGAAATATATAGAATGTAAACAGTTCCTGTAGTAGTAGCCTTAATGAAACCGCAATAACGAAACGTTTATTATAATTGTTTCATTTCTAAGTATGTGCTAGAAACAATACAGTTACAATAAATTTAATTGAGAATTTTCTACACACGGGTTTGTTGTGTTTGTTTTTATGTATGTTTAAAATAGTGTTGTATACTAGTAAGCCACAATTGTTATCACGTCAGCTTATTTCACTTGTTACGAAACTTTAGTGTGAATGTAGAGTAATATAAGTATTTTGATTAGTTTCGTATCTGTGAACGTAAAGTAAAATAAGTATTTTGATTATTTTCGTATTCGTGAACGTAAAGTAAAATAAATATTTTGATCAGTTTCGTATTCGTGAACGTAAAGTAAAATAAGTATTTTCATTAGTTTCGTATCTGTGAACGTAGAGTAAAATAAGTATTTTGATTAGTTTCGTATTCGTGAACGTAAGGTAAAATAAATATTTTGATTATTTTCGTATTCGTGAACGTAAAGTAAAATAAATATTTTGATTAGTTTCGTATTCGTGAACGTAAAGTAAAATAAGTATTTTGATTATTTTCGTATTCGTGAACGTAAAGTAAAATAAGTATTTTGATTATTTTCGTATTCGTGAACTGTAGAGTAAACTAAATATTTTGATTAGTTTCGTATTCGTGATGTAAGTAACTAAATATTTTGATTAGTTTCGTATTCGTGAATGTAGAGTAAA